AGTAAATTATTTTTTTTAGGTATGACCCTCTCAGCTGCAGTTGAAAATTATTAGATGATTTATTAGTACATTTGGTGTTTCTTATACCCTCCAACCTCTATATTTTTTATAATACATGTGAATCTGTTATTGTCAGCAACATAGTATGTGGTCAGTTGGCTGCCAGCCTATGATATTGTCTATGTGATCTATGCAAATTTTCAGATTTGTTAGCTGAACTAAATATTAGAAGTGAAAATGCCTCTTAATAATACAAAATACTCATGTGAGGTTTTGAATAAATTTGTGACAAAATTAGGAATTAGGAAATATCAGGCTTCCTAACAAGTATATTTAAATTTTGTGAATGAGCAGTACATTCTATTCCGAGAAAAACTTTTTTTTCTGTCACATTATAAACATAGACCATATACTTTTTTGTCAAAGTTTCTGTTTATAGTAGTAATCATACAACTTGCTCCACAGGCATTCAAATGCGAAGACTAATTTCTTATGAGGCTTAACATGATAATGGCTTAGAAGCATTGTAAAATATTCAAAGTTAAGTGCTAAATGTCTAGAAATATGTGTCATTTCAAAGGAAGACAGGAAAGGACAAATTACTAAGCTTGGCACTGACAAAGCATGGATGACTTACATAAATTATGTGTATGATAATAGCTGCAAAATAAAAAAAAAATTGCCTGAATCCCACCCTTTCAAAATCTCCATATTGGGCCTTCTAGCTAGGGCTGGCTGGGGTTCATCTGACAGCTAGACTACTCTAGTTTTAAAAAATATTGGTGGAAGAATATAGAGGAACAACTTCAGTGCTATACCTGTTTACTTTCTACTTAATAAATTAGTATAATAATGATTCACCATGAGTGCCCATTACACAAAGATTTTGTAGGTACTCTATTTCTGCTTTTATTGTGATGCATTACATACTGTAGAAATAAGTCACATTCTATATTTAGGACCAATTTTTATGAAAGTCTACAATTATTATTTTTTTTTTTTACAATGTACTTATTTTCATGTGAGCAAAAAAAAAAAATAACATACATCGAAGAAGAATATTGCCATGAACATTAATTATCCAATTAAGAAGATCTAGCACTGGAAATACAGATAATGGTATAAACTAGCAATTAGCCCATATAGTTAGTCATTGTAAATGTAAGCTTAGGATATGTTTACTTAACAGTGTATAACAATATACTACCTCAACATTGCCTCCTAGTGTTCCTGCAGCTGGGAACAAGGGTGTAATCAATCAACACATCTTACTACAAGCCATCCTTTAGGCTCAGCAGGATAACATTGTTGATATATAGTAACACACACATCAACTACATAAGCAGTAAACAACTTAAAAACTCCATACCCCTGCATTTTACTAATGATGTGTCAAGACAGCATGCTAGTGGATGTGGCTGTCTGCAGTATGACTAAACTGCATGGATCCTTCTTACAGTTGTCCCTACATTGTATTATGGCTTGCTTAGTCAAATGATGGCAGTCACTTATAGGAGTCTCATTATAGGAGCAGGGGAAAATAGGCCTACCACTTAAATGGTCATTTTATCTTGGACAAAATAGACACCCTCTCTCCACACCTCTATTAAATTGTATGTCCACCTAACATTTTTTTTTTTAAATTTTGGATTAGAACTCCACTTGGATTTTTCTGCTAGCTGGGACTCTATTTCTTTCAGATTTCCCCTTGCATACTGTCTTGCTGACAATGATTTCACCAGAAAATGAGAAAAAATATCCAACAGCAATACAGACAAAATGCAATTTTTTTAGTACGTAGAGGAAGGCTAGAGCTTTTTATTGCTGTCCATGTCTCTGATTTAAACTTTCCTTAATTTTCTGTCTGGTGAAACCATTGTCACAATAACTTTAATCCTTCCCAGACTTAAAAGGTTTTTGCTGGACATACGAGGTGTGACAATTTAATTCCCAGAATGGACTGTAAAAAAAATCAAACACCTTTGCATCTTTCAAAAGGTCAGATGAAATGTGATGACCTTTCTAAGAACCTAGAATCTGCCTCACTGTTTCCCTGTTCATTTTCAATTCTTCTGCCATCATTCGTACACTCAATCTTTGATCTGAGCGTATGATGCTTTGCACTCTGTCCACACTTGCATCCGTCCTTTGCGTTTTTGGCTGCCCACTTCTTGCATCATCTTGGGCATCTTCCCGCCCCTCCTTAAACTACCTACACTATTTAAAACACTTGGTTTCTTCATGGAATGTTCACCATAAGCTTGTTGTAACAGAGCTAAAGTTTCGCTCGCATTTTTGCCAATTTTCACACAAACTTTGATGTTGATCCAGTGCACCAGATTCCTATCACTCATTTTCTGCCACAACGCATGCACGTGTTATTTCTCGTATACTTTCAATAAATAAAATTAAGGGAAAAGTCCTTGGCAATTTTTTTTAATTAATGCAAAATAACCAGATTTACATACATGTTCAAACACATGTATAATAATGGTGATTAGGCCTCATTCACACTGACAATGAAACACATGCACCTACAGGATATTTAAAGGCATATAAATGAATGGCATATGCAAGTAAAGTTAAATGCAGGATATCTTGATCTGAGAAGCATACACATTGTGTATATATCCCAGATAGCCCACATGGAAGAAAAATATATTTGAAATCTATTTTAAAAATATTCTTCCCAAGTATATTGCCATATATTTGAAATGCTACAATTTTGGCAATATTCAATATATTTCAATATATACTGTATATATATAAAAATATATGAAAAAATATTTGTAAAAATACATTTCAAATGTACTGTATGTCTTTAAAAATACAAATATACATTTTTGGAATGCATTTACAAATATATGTAAAAATGTATGTTAAAATGACTTTTTTATCTGTTAAAAAAAAATCTGAAGAATATATTTAAAAAATATATATTTTTAAAAACATATTTTTAAAATATATTCTTCAGATTTCTTTTAACATATAAAAAAGTATTTTTAAACATATATTTTTACATATATTTGTAAATGGATTCCAAAAATGTAGATTTGTATTTTTAAAGACATACAGTATATTTTAAATGCATTTTTACGAATATTTTTTTGTAATAAATATATATACAGTGGGGCAAAAAAGTATTTAGCCAGCCACCAATTGTGCAAGTTCTCCAACTTAAAAAGATGAGAGAGGCCTGTAATTGGCATCATAGGTAGACCTCAACTATGAGAGACAAAATGAGAAAAAAAATCCAGACAATCACATTGGCTGATTTGGAAAGAATTTATTTGCAAATTATGGTGGAAAATAAGTATTTGGTCACCTACAAACAAGCAAGATTTCTGGCTCTCACAGACCCGTACCTTCTTCTTTAAGAGGCTCCTCTCTCCTGCACTCATTACCCGTATCAATGGCACCTATTTGAGGTTGTGGACAGGTGTCTTTTGATACTGATAAGTTCAAACAGTCACACTCCAAACTCCACTATGGTGAAGACCAAAGAGCTGTCGAAGGACATCAGAAACAAAATTGTAGACCTGCACCAGGCTGGGAAGACTGAATCTGCAATAGGCAAGCTGCTTGGTGTGAACAAATCAACTGTGGGAGCAATAATTAGAAAATGGAAGACATACAAGACCACTGATAATCTCCCTCGATGTGGAGCTCCACACAAGATCTCACCCCGTGGGGTCAAAATGATCACAAGAACGGTGAGCAAAAATCCCAGGACCACACAGGGGGACCTAGTGAATAACCTGCAGAGAGCTGGGACCAACGTAACAAAGGCTACCATCAGTAACACACTACGCCACCAGGGACTCAGATCCTGCAGTGCCAGACGTGTCCCCCTGCTTAAGCCAGTACATGTCCAGGCCTGTCTGAAGTTTGCGAGAGAGCATTTGGATGATCCAGAAGAGGATTGGGAGAATGTCATATGGTCAGATGAAACCAAAATAGAACAGTTTGGTAGAAACACAACTCGTCGTGTTTGGAGGAGAGAGAATGCTGAGTTGCATCCAAAGAAACACCATACCTACTGTGAAGCATGGGGGTGGCAGCATCATGCTTTGGGGCGGTTTCTCTGCAAAGGGACCAGCACTACTGATCCATGTACAGGACAGAATGAATGGGGCCATGTATCATGAGATTTTGAGTGCAAACCTCCTTTCATCAGCAAGGGCATTGAAGATGAAACATGCCTGGTCTTCCAATATGACAATGATCCCAAACATACCGCCCAGGCAACGAAGGAGTGGCTTCGTAAGAAGCATTTCAAGATCCTGGAGTGACCTAGCCAGTCTCCAGATCTCAACCCCATAGAAAACCTTTGGAGGGAGTTGAAAGTCCACGTTGCCCAGCGATAGCCCCAAAACATCACTGCTCTAGAGGAGATCTGCATGGAGGAATGGGCCAACATACCAGCAACAGTGTGTGCCAACCTTGTGAAGACGTACAGGAAACGTTTGACCTCTGTCATTGCCAGCAAAGGATATATAAAAAAGTATTGAGATGAACTTTTGATATTGACCAAATACTTATTTTCCACCATAATTTGCAAATAAATTCTTTCCAAATCAGCCAATGTGATTGTCTGGATTTTTTTTCTCACTTTGTCTCTCATAGTTGAGGTTTACCTATGATGCCAATTACAGGCCTCTCTCATCTTTTTAAGTTGGAGAACTTGCACAATTGGTGGCTGACTAAATACTTTTTTTGTCCCACTGTATATTGAATATGGCCAAAATTGTAGCATTTCAAATATATGGCAATATACTTGGGAAGAATATTTTTAAAATACATTTCAAATATATTTTTCTTCCATATGGGAGATTTTCCTCTATTTAACCACCTCCCGCCCGCCATATAGTAATATGATGGATGCAAGGTGGTTCTCTCGTTCTGGGAGGACGTCATATGACGTCCTCCCATTCTAACCGCGCATGCGCTGCTCCCGGAGCGCACAGCATGGCGATCAGCTGTGCGCTGTGTCCCTTGGACACAACAGATCACCGATCCATGGAAAGAGCCAAAGATGTCGGCTCAGTCATGTGATCAGCTGTGTCCAATCACAGCTGATCACATGTAAACAGGGAAATGCCGGTTATCGGCATTTCTCTCCCCACGAGCTGTCACGCTGACAGCTCATGAGGAGAGGAGAGCCGGTCATCGGCATTCCTAGGAGGTGATATGTACACAGATCATCAGAGCACTGATGATCAGTGTGTCCTGATGATCTGTGTAGCCCCGGCAGCGCCACCTGTCAGTGTCCATCAGTGCCAGCTCTCAGTGCCACATCAGTGCCACATCAATGCCACATATCAGTGCCCATCTGAGCTGCCTTTCAGTGTCACCTATCAGTGCCAGTCAGTGCCACCTATCAATGCCAGTCAGTGCCACCTATCAGTGCCGCCTAACAATGCCAGTCAGTGCCACCTAACAGTGCCAGTCAGTGCCGCCTATCAGTGCCAGTCAGTGCCGTCTATCAGTGCCACCTATCAGTGCCGCATATCAGTGCCATATACGAGTGCTGCCTTTCAGTGCCCATCAGTGATGCCTGTCATTGCCCATCAGTGCGACATACCAGTGCCTCCTCATCAGTGCCCATCAGTGCCACCTATCAGTGTCCATCAGTGCAGCAGCCTATCAGTGCCCATCACTGCAGCCTCATTAGCGCACATACGTGAAGGAGAAAAATCACTTATTTACAAAATTTTTATAACAAAAACTAAGAAAAATTTTTTTTTTTCAACATTTTCAGTGGTTTTTGTTTTGTTTAAGAAAAAAGAAAAAACCCAGAGGTGATTAAATACCACCAAAATAAAGCTCTATCTGTCACAAAAAAATGATAAAAATGTCATATGGGTTCAGTGTTGCATGACCGCGCAATTGTCATTCAAAGTGCAACAGCGCTGAAAGCTGGAAATTGGCCTGGGCAGGAAGGGGGTATAAGTGCCCTGTAGGTAAGTGGTTAAATAAACTAAATGCAGAAGTCTGAATGAAAGTAGCCTACAACTTGACATAGGTTCAACAAAGATCTATTTCATTAACAAAATAGGCTGTCAGAATGAAACATAAAGCAAATACAGGCCTCCAGCCACAAAGTATTAATAGAAAACATGCTAATACTCAACTGAGCCTTAGTCTGTACATGTCTTGAGCAAAGTCTCTAATTCCAGGTAATGAATGGCAGCAATGCAGAAACAGACTAATTACCACTTTAGTGCAGCATCTTTCAGCTTTACGGCTCAGCATGGCTCTCTCTGAATTGACACAGATATTACTGACCATAGCAGCTTTGTCCAGCTGAACTTAACAGGTTTTTCAGAGAAAAATCAAACATGGTGCAATGGATTTGCTCATGAGAATTCCTAGTGAAAACAGCCCCAGTTCACATTTTGTAAATAACAGATAAAGAAGAAGGACTTGCTGGCTTTACCTTAAAATAATGCTTAAGAAACCATGGAGCCACATACCTCCTATCATACCTTCTAAAAACATAACCTATTTTACAGTCACCATGTCAATATATATATATATATATATATATATCACACACACATGAAAAATAAAAGTCCCAAATCATTTCACTATTACATTGGAGCGTAATAAACTATCTCGATTTAAAGGTGATTTTCATCACTCTTTTCTCTGTAATCCATTCATGGAAACCGGCTGAATAAAATTGTAAATGTCAACATACAGGATATGAATAGGATGTTTTGGTATGTTTCAGCTCAACTCATCTTCAACTGCTCAGTACTGTCCATGCAAATAGAAACAATTTAATTCCCCTGCTCAGATGCATGAGGAACTGGGTAATTCTGACAGATGCACCACTTGAATATCACCAAAGGCAATTGTTAACTCAGGCAAACATTCATTGTGGATTTTATTTCAGAACTAGAAATGTATTCATCATGTCACGACTCTGCCACTTCTGTGTGGATTTTGCACGCCACTGTACGATGCAGCCAACAGAACACATTAATGTTGCATTCTTTCATTTGTTAATTCTTAAAAACATGAGCATACATGTGAACTACATTGTCTTAACATTAAATATCATAGCCATTCACACTGCTACTTTTCCAGAGGCAGAATCCAATATTACAAAATATATTTTCACTAAACTTGAGACTTTTGGCATTGTATGTGACAGCCTGTTCTATATTAGCCTCTTAGGTTGAAGGAACAATGGACAACAGTACAAGCATTTAGAATGTAGAATGTGAACATTTATAAGCCTGCAAAATAATTGTTATTACCAAATGTTGTCATAAGGGAAAAGTAAAGAGCTATTAGAATCTTAAATGCCTAGATGGTTATCAGCTGCGTATTATTGATATTGGATTATCAATCAAGTTTTAAATATCAGTAATAAAACAACAGCCGCTATAGAGAGCCTGAAATTTTATTAAACTTTAAAATCATAGATATTCGGTTGTCAAACAGTAGAAGAACTATAATAGTAGAACTACAGATCAATGAACAGTGTAACCTTTGTGACTGTCTTGTCTAAGATAACTATGCCTGTCCTAAGGATGAAAAAATTTCCATTTAGGTTTTGTTTTCCCCTTTTTTTGTGGGGGGGAACAATATAATAAAAATTATGATTGAGATAATTTTGTGAAGTCAAAATACACGAAGTAGGTGGAGGTTGGGAGATGGTTAGGGGGAGAAGGAAGGCATAAGGGAGGGATCGAGAGGGTGTGTGGTGTATGTCGTAAGACCTGGTGGGTTCAAGAACTCTCTGGAATAAGCCTAGGTTGACCAATATGTATTTAGAAATTAGGGGATTTCCTCCTTTCTTTTCATTCTTTTTAAGGGTTGTTATGATAATAGATCAGGGTTTTTGGAAATACACCCTCTTGTATGTTGGTTCTTGTCCTTCCTTTTGTGTATTGTATGAGTTTTTAACTGATGTTTCCTTTTATAGGTCTTTTTGATAATGTATTTGTATTGTATTTAAAATGAATAAAAATAAATTTATAAAAAAAGTTTACAGTAGATGATTTCTATCATAGCAGATGTGGTTTTTCTGGTTTATACCAATGCCACAGTTACTGACAGGTGCTGAAATCATCAAGTGGTTAGCTGAGTGTGTTCTTGCCTATCAATTAAGTATTTGGCTGAAATAGAATGAGACTGGTGTTAGGTTGAAATTGTTCAAATTCTTTGTTCAGAACTTAGTAATTATTATTAGTGGATGTATCAGCATCTGCAATTTTCTACTCAAGCAAATCAAGTCTATAAGAAGAAACTAAAAAGAAATCTATGGTCACAGTACAAACTTTTATTTTATAACATCAGCATTGTAATATTCATAGAAACACAATATATATTTGCTAATATAGAGTTATTTGAAATTTCTCCTTTCATTCCATGATTGCTGCCTGCCTACTGGCCATTTCTTTCCACAACTTCCTGGATTCCCTGCATGTTTTGCTTCTCCTCTGCTGTTTACCTTCAATTTTTAAGGACTTCATATCCCATGGTACCGTGCTGCTTGGAAGCAGTGATTGCTGTACTGATTCTGGCCCCTGGAACACTTCCTCTCAACACCCCCATAATTCAGAAGGCAGGCTCTGTAAAGTCTGTAACATGGCAGTACCTGTTTATGGAACATAGTTGATAGATGTCACAATTCAAGGAAGTAAATGCGTGGGAATGTTCACAAAGTAAGTTTTACAAACATCCAGAGCTTTCAGATTAATAAAAGTAGGATAGAAATAATTTAAATACAATGTGGATATGAGTATACAGTTGCAAGAAAAGGTATGTGAACCCCTTGGGATTACGTGGAGTTTTGCATGAATTGGGCATAAAATGTGCTCTGAATGTCATCTAAGTAACAACTATAGAAGAACACAGTCTGCTGAACATTATACTACACAAACATTAGATGTTGCCATGGTTTAATTACACATAACATGTAAACATTCACAGTGCAGGGAGGAAAAAGTATGTGAGGCCCTAGCTTAATGACTTCTCCCAGAGCTAATTGGAGCCAGGAGTGAGCCAACCTTGACTCCAATCAGTGTGATGATATTGGATGTGTTGCTGACAGCTGTCCTGCCCTTAAAAAACACACACCTGTTTTGGGTTTACTGGTTTCAAGAAGCACTGTCTGATGTGAACCATGCCTCGCAGAAAAGAGCTCTCAGAAGACCTACGATCAAGAATTGTTGACTTGCATGAAGCTGGAAAGGGTTACAAAAGTATCTCCAAAAGCCTTGATGTTCATGTGTCCACGGTAAGACAGGCTGTCTACAAATGGAGAAAGTTTAGCACTGTTGCTACTCTCCCTAGGCGTGGTTGTCCTGTAAAAATGACTGCAAGAGCACAGCGCAGAATGCTGCATGAGGTAAAGAAGAATCCTAGAGTGTCAGCTAAAGACCTACAGAAATCTCTGGCACATGCTAACATTTTTGTTGACACATCTACAATAAGAAAAACATTAAACAAGAATAGAGTACATGGGAGGACACCATGGAGGAAGCCATTGCTGTCCAAAAAGAATATTGCAGCACGTTTGAAGTTTGCAAAAGAGCACCTGGATGTTCCACAGCACTACTGGCAAAATATACTGTGGACAGATAAAACCAACATTGAGTTGTTTGGGAAGAACACACAACACTATTATGTGTGGAGAAAAAAAGGCACAGCACACCAACATCAAAACCTCATCCCCACTGTAAAACATGGCGGAGGGAGCATCATGGTTTGGGGCTGCTTTGCTGCCTCAGGGCCTGGACGGATTGTTGTCATTGATGGAAAAATGAATTCCAGAGTTTATCAAGACATTTTGCAGGAAAATGTACGACCATCTGTCCGCCAACTGAAGCTCCGCAGAGGATGGGTGATGCAACAGGACAATGACCCAAAGCATACAAGTAATTCAACAAAACAATGGCTGCAACAGCACAGAATACGCCTTCTGGAGTGGCCCAGTCAGAGTCCTGACCTCAACCCGATTGAAATGCTGTGGGATGACCTTAAGAGAGCGATTCACACCAGACATCCCAAGAATATTGCTACACTGAAACAGTTTTGTGAAGAGGAGTGGTCCAAAATTACTCCAGATCGTTGTGCAGGTCTGATCTGCAACTACAGGAAACGTTTGGTTGAGGTTATTGCTGCCAAAGGAGGGTCAACCAGTTATTAAGTCCAAAGGTTCACATACTTTTTCCTCCCTGCACTGTGAATGTTTTACATGTTATGTGCAATTAAACCATGGCAACATCTAATGTTTGTGTAGTATTATGTTCAGCAGACTGTGTTCTTCTATTGTTGTGACTGAGATGACGTTCAGAGCATATTTTATGCCCAATTCATGCAAAACTCCACGTAATCCCAAGGGGTTCACATACTTTTTCTTGCAACTGTATGATTTTACATTTTGACCATTGAGATGCTTTAAAGCTTATTTATGGCCAAAAATAGATTCTTAACCTTTTATCCCACCCATTCACAATAAAAAAAAGTATCGTACTAACTTAACTAATAACTTGTTGCCACCATGACATCATCATGCCACCAATGAAGTCTTTAGGACACTGTGTGAACCTCACCACCAGTATGTTTTAGGGATAAGAAGAAAGATAACATCATGATTATAGGAATTATTTTTTCATGTATTACTCAACTACCACCAGAACCACACTGTTTAAAATATATGTAAAGTTGGATTGTTTCATTTAGGCCTTGTACAATTTAAAGCCATGGCAACATAGCAAAGTATAAATGGATTAACCATATTTATTACTATAAAATATTATAATAATTAT